ATCATCAATATATTCATTATGATTTAATCATTCATAATTACTATATTTAATCAGAACATTTATCAAGATTTAATCATCAATCAATAATCATTACCATAATCATTAATCAACATAATATTCAATAACAATTAGCGGCCTAGCTTCGGGTGTTAACACCCTAACTTACCGTCATGCATCACGTAATGTTTTTATTTGTTAAAAACATCATTTTTATTGTGGTACATCATTTTTCCAATGAACATAATCAATTGGTCGATTTTAGAGCATATATTTTCAGAATATTTTCGGAACAGGATCTGGACTTGAGAAAAATTGATTTTTATTTTTAAAATAATCAATTAATACCTAAAAATCGATTTTTATATTTAAAATAATCCATTAATAGCTAAAAATCGATTTTTATATTTTAAATAATCAATTAATTGCTAAAAATCGATTTTTATATTTTAAATAATCAATTAATTGCTAAAAATCGATTTTTATATTTTAAATAATCAATTAATTGTTACAAATCGATTTTTAGTTTTAAATTAATCAATTAATACTTTTTAAATTGATTTTTATGATTAAAATAATCGATTATTTTTCGTTTATATATAATGTCTTCGAACTCCTCTTCTGAACACAGTTCTAATCGATTCTTAGGAAGGAAAAAATCGATTTTCGGCTACTGTTCATCATCATCTTCCTCTGGTCAATTTTTAACATTATCATTTTTAATTACCAAACTTCAATTAAATTATATAGGAATATTCCCCAATGTTCACAGATCATTTTAGAGTCATTAATTCGTAGTTTTAACAACAATTTCATGGTTTATGATTCTTGGTTATTCAAACATGTCAAACACAAAACTCAACCAAACGACCGTTTATGAACGTAAAAACGATCTATACGAACATTCTAGTCACTAGATATATCTACGGGCTTACCTCGAAGCTTATCGAAGGTTTTCAGAATTTTCCGGCGAAACTTCCGGCGATGATAACTCCCAACTCCGGCGACTTCGGTGGCCACCAACTACTGCAACATGTTCTCCTCACTCTCAGGAACACTTTGGTACTAAACTCATTAGTTTTTTGGTGAGGAATGAGAGGGTTGATGGTGGCCTTATATAGGAAGAGAATGGGGAAGGTGACAACATTTGCTGCGTAGGATTTGCGTAGGAATGCATCCTCGATCGGCTGAGTGGAGTAGGAGGCGCCCTCCCTGATTGGGACTAATTTTGGTTCTAGTCGGGGTACACTTTTGGGTACAACTTTCTCTGAATTGAAATCTGTTTGCACTGTTGCGATCGTGCAATTAAACTCTATCCAACGATATAATTTTTATATTTATTCATTATACTTTTTCCGACATCATATTTTTGGGTGGTTGACTTTGACAGAGTCAAAATTCGTTTAATTGACCTTTATTCAAAAAGGTTCTCACATTTAATTCATATTATTTATTTCCATGATTTATTTCAATAAATCATTTCAAAGTTCACATTATAAACAATTTCTTCATTTATTCTTAATTTGGGTCTGTACTCAGGTTCCCAATCAAGATCACACAATAAATCAACATGTTGGATTTATCTCTATGAGATTTATCCCAATTATGTTTATTGGATATCAATATATATTTTATTTCAGCCCAAAGCCCAACAACAATTTATTTTAATCAAAAAAAATTTTGTTTAATTGAATATTTAATTCAATAAATTTTAGAGTATATTTTGGGGCGTTACAATTACAAAGTGATTTATTAAACTTTGTCATTAAGCTAAAGGTTAAAATTAACTTCACTTTGTCAATGATTTATTTTTGATCCTTTTAAATCATCATGGCCGAAAGTTTTGATTTGAGAAAGTGAGAAGGATTTTCAAAATCCTTCTCCACTTAAATGTTCAAAGTGTATTATATTTGACACCAAAAATTAATATAAAATTAATTTTATATACTTTATACTTTAAATAGTTTATGTCAAAATAATTTATGTCAAAATAATTGTTTTGTCAAAATAGTTTATGTCAAAATAATTTATGTCAAAATAATTTTATATACTTTATACTTTAAATAGTTTATGTCAAAATAGTTTATGTCAAAATAATTTATGTCAAAATAATTTATGTCAAAATAAACAAGTATACAAATATACTTTAAATAGTTTATGTCAAAATAATTGTTTTCATAATTAAAATGACAAACCAAAATAAAATATTCAACATATAATATATATATATATATATATATATATATATATATATATATTAATCGGCACATATATGTAATATATATAACTGAATATTTATATATATAATATTATATTCCAAAATATTTTATTTTACTATTTTTAAAAATATACAAATTACTTATTATCCCATTGTTTAATCCTACTCCTTAAATTGTCCAAAGTGTGTGACCTGTATCGGCACTTATAAAGCTGGCCACAGTATTGGCTCTGCACCAATAATATAAGCAATAAGCGGTATCTAGCAACACATTATTGCCCCCAGATTATAAGTTACGACGCTTGCACCGTCAAAACCTTTCCACGACTCAGACTTTGTGTAACTGTATCCCTTTGTCTCAATGTCTAAACTTAATGCAAGGGATTAATAAAATCCAACTTGTATCCATTAAGTCATTTACTGATTTATCAAGTCTGACTTATAGGAACAGACATCATAAAAACATCTCAGCATGACCATGCAATTTCCTCAGTCATGACTTATCAGTGGGTCCCATAAGACATTAATCTCTTAAAAAGAGTAGTGACAAATCCTATGTGCGCAATCTACGTTTCTGAATACGCGCTGCGGCATACCGAAAACAAAGCTTATATACCATCCTTATTTCATATGGCTTAGGACAATGCATCAAAGTATGCGGGTTCACATATGCAAAAAACATAATACTTCAAGTCGAAGGATAGTTACACCCGTGGTCGCGCTAAAGATGCTTAGAGCATGACCTAAAAGTTCAAGCAACATCTTTAGGATGGGTCAGTCCGGCATCCTATTATCTCCAGATAATATCTGCCCATGTGCGGATGCGAACACACCGTCATTGACTATGAGACTAAGTCAAACATCCAACACATACTAGTCTCACATGCAGTAACGATATCCTACTCTCGTTAATACTCGACTATGGGCATTCAGATAAATATTTATTTCAAGATTTTAGTCTCATCAGCAGAAAAACACTATCTGGTAAACATCTTTAAATATAAATCTAGGAATATAATATTTGGGAGGCAGGATCGAATCCTCGTGAGGGCACAAATTCATTTTAAAAGAATAAGGAGTAACAAGTTTTTTTAACAATAGTACCAACTTTAATAGGAAAAGAGTAACTTTACATCGGCCCGGTTCTAGTGACACCGGAAAACGGTGTCACTAGCGGTGCCACTGCATTTTTGGGGCACCTCCAGTCCTTCGTTCGAAAAACTTGACGATTCCTATCCCTCCTAACCCATCCCCTAAACCCCTACCCTACCCCAACCCGCCGTAAGCCCCCACAAAATGTGTGGCTATTATGCAATGCATAATAGCCACACATATTGTGGGGGTGGGGCTTACGACGGGATTGAGGTGGGAGTGCAGGGGTGGGGGGTTTAGGGGTGGGTTTGGGAGGGTAAGAACTGTCAATTTTACGAACGGAGCACCGGAGGTACTCCAAAAAACACACTGGCACCGGAGTTGCACCGTTCTCCGGTGTCACTAGAACCGGCCCGAATTTACATACAACTATATAAGTACCTTTTATTTGTATAATGAGGAAGAATTGTTTTGAGGCTGTAGAAATTTTTTTCGAGATGCCAAGAGCATTTTGCTAGGTATCTTTTCTTATGGTATCTGTAATTTCAAATGCATAAATATTAATTACTTTTCCAAATTCCAGATTAGCAATAATATCATCATCTAAAACCATACTTTCTTTCTCCAAAGAAGTTTTTTCCTTGTCTTTATCATTTGCCAAAGACAAATTCTTTAGTTATCTAATAACAAATTTGTCCATCTCAAGAATTTCTATTTTCTAATTGTATAAATCATTTATGAAACAAATAGAAATTTGTTGTAATTTAACTCTAATGCTCCCCCTATCCCTAAAATATTACCACAATTTGAATTTTTAGGTCAAACTGTGTCACTTTTGATCGTTGATTATGGAAAAGGTATGTTTAATAAATTTAGTAAAAAATTAACTTATTTTAAAATATAGTTTTAAAATATCAAATTTTTATAATATTTAATTATTTTAAGTTATATTTAATTCGTAATCAAATAGTACCACAGTTTGACCAAAAAATTCAAACTGTGACAATCTTTTACTCCCTAAGTTTTAAGGACGGAGGGAGTCCAAAGTAAAATCAAATTACTACTTTTAACAAATACGGGGTATTCAAAAATTGAAACACAACACTAAGAATAAAAAGGTAATTAAACAAAACAAAAAATTAACGGCTGGTCTTTTTAATCGGGGGAAGGGGCATGCACATCATCCTTCCATCGTCACCGGCGGTATACTAAAGATACTTGGCTGTGAAATCGTCGGGGGTGGGGGGGCACGTGCTTGGGCATGCCCCGCCCTCCCTCCGCCCATGGTTGGGGCAACGACGAGATGGCCCTCACACAGTCACACAGGAAGGGGCCACGCCCTCCTCACGGAACTCCGTCATGGTGAATGAGCGTGCATGGGACGTGAAGGAGGAGATTAAGCCCTTTTTTGTCAAACATTAAAAGTAGATAGGACTGGTCGTATTTTGTGCTTTTTTTTGTTCTTACCAGCAAAACAGAACGAATATAGTTTTTTTTCACAGATACCTTGAGGTGAATGGTTTATTGGACTATGTAATGGTGCTGGACTTATGCGAACGCAGTAAAAAATGGTAATTTGATTTAAAACATCGATTCCTCATAGCACAATTTCAAAGAACTTGTCTTGAAATTAGTTTGAAAAAGTGCTTGAAAACATGATTACAGATTAATAGAGGTATTCTTTCCGTGGAAGGCTGCACAACTTCAGCGGTGTCTGGCCAATTCTGCTGCAACGAGTCTGTCACTCCACTTCTGTGATTTCTTGCCCTAAGAAATGCGCTTCTCATGGAACATGCCAATAATCTCTTATGGATGTTAGCGGGCTAACACTATACAGGTGGTAGATGATACTCCCCCCCTTCCCAATTCTTTCTTCTTGTTTTGACTTGACACACTTTTTATTGCAAATTGAAAAATGTTTGACTTTCCATTTTTGCCTCTAGTGATGTAATACATTGAAGAAAGATGTAGAAGTATTTCCCTTTAAGGAAAGGGGAAGAAAGTTATATGACGGCCTAAAAAGGAAAAACGGGAAGAAATATATAGGATGAAGGGAGTATAACCTAAAGCTCAAAACTTTATTTATTTAGGGCATGTTTGGTCAAGTTTATCTGCCCAAAATGGCTGAGAATGCTGAGTTTTCTTGAAGGAAATGTTTGGTAACACTTATTTCAGTCAAATAAATCAAAAGTTACTTGTTGGGTTGATAAGGTGAATAACCCACATTTGTCTCCCAAACAGAGCTTTAAGCATCTTGATTATGCAACCTTTTAATCTGTCATTGCGCGTGTTGTTGGGACAAACGCACGCGGAAACAGCACACAATCACGAATCAACTACAGAAAAATAAACGACACAAAGTTTAACGTGGTTCGGTCGCCAACTGCAACCTACTCCACACGGGGCAACTAGGAGGTCTTTATTTCATTGTTGTTGCACCACAATTACAAGCACATTAGAATCTCTTAAATAGAGATTAGTTAGGGAGACAATGATTAAGCCGTAAGCTTCTAGGTAGCTTCCTGTCAATTTCCTGTTAGCTTTCTCCCAGCTTCATGGCTTCACACTCAACACGTGTTTCAGTTACTGTTCTTGTGACCGCAATCATGGAGGCTTTGATTGTAGCATCGAACTTGTTTCACAAGTAGGTAAGACTCTTTTTTATCTGCATGTCTAGTTTTTGTTTCCTCTTATGATGGTTGACATTTGCATTTAATAAGAATTTTCTGTAAAGGGTTTAAAGGTGTGTTTGTGGGGATAGGAGTGTACCTTGTGGCACTAGGTTATAGGTTTACTTAATATTGTGAATATGCTTGCAATGCCTAATCCATTGTAGTTAACCCTCACACTATATAACGCTGCCTTATAAAGGAAAGATGTTGAAACATGTAGGGCATGTTTGGCAATCAGTTTCTCTTATTGCATCAAATGCTGCAGCTTTGCTACCCGCATATTGGTCTCTTCGTCACAAGGTGATAATGGCTAGCCCAGTGATCACCTTAACATTCTGTTTTTTTCTTCCTGTTCTTTTTTTTCTTCCTTCTTTTGTGGTTAATCTGAAATTGGAAACTTTCTTTTTGGCATTTGGTGTTTTTTCCCCTTTCTTTGCAGGCATTTGCAGAATTGGTTCTTTTCACATCAAGTGGAATATCAAGTGGTTTGTATCACGCATGTGATGTGGGCACATGGTGTGCATTAACTTTCCATGTCCTACAGGTACTTTTTTTTACAACAAACCTAGTAGAATCCCACAAGGTAATAAGGTCTGAAGAGTGTGTGTGTGCTCGCAGACCTTACCATACGTGGAAGTAAAAAGGTTGTTTTTAAGAATCCCGGCTTAAAAATAAAATTAAGACACTTTTATGTGTTTTTTTCAGTGTTTTGATTTGTTTTCTGAAAATAAATTAGGAAGGATTCTACGGGTTTTTTTACTAATGTATGAAGTGATGTTTGTTGCCAGTTCATGGATTTCTGGCTTTCTTTCATGGCTGTTGTCACCACTTTTGTATGCTTGGCTACTATTAGCGAAATCTCAAAGAGGACAATACACACTATTGTTGCAATACTTACCGCCCTTTTGGCTGAAACCGGACCAACCAGGTTTCTCATTTGGTTTTTGGTTTTTGGGTGTTTCTTGAAATTACATATAGGGCCCTAATCTCTTTGATGATTGTTTCAGGTCCTCAAACATAATAATTGTGGTGGCCATAGGGGATGTAGTCCTGTTAATCGGGTTCCTTATTGAGCTTTCTACCCGTCGCAGGATGCTTTGCTTATCTTCTTCAACACAAGTCTGTTTGAATCTGATTTACAGGTAAATCTTATATCAAAATGGGCTCGCCGTGTTTCTTAAGGCAAAAATTAAGAGCCCATTTGGTGAGCAAAGCACGATTGATATGATACGGGTTTTGAAATCTGAAAAAAATGATGAACACAGTTTAAGCTCACCAAACACATACAAAAAGATTTGGAAATCAGAAGATATCAAAAAACCATACCTCGAACTCTTTACCAAAAGGACCCTAAGTCAGTATTTGCTGAAGAGCCTTTTGGAGAGGCTTTCCTACTATTACATTGTTACCCTTGAACACATTGTTCCTATTATTACATTGTTGCATTTATGTGTAGTTTTGTATGACGAAACTTGTAACAAATTTAAACTGCTTCTTTGTTCACATTTACCATACGTGGACAACGTTGTTTGCAGCTGGGAGGGCATAAAAACATGGATTCAGAATCTCATCAAGACAATCTTAAAGCGATTCTATTGTGTCTTTTTACTTTTTGGCTTCATTGCATTGGCAATGGCTGCCATAAGCTGGAAGTGGAAACCAGTGAAAGCTATTGTATTTGGCACAGGTCAGATAAGAGTAATGCTAGATGCACATCACCTTTCAACTCACCACCCATTCTTATCCACTTTCCCGTCTTTCTTATTTTTTATCCACATCAAAAAATGTATGGTGGGACGGAAGGTGGTGTGCAAGTTGCTGGGAATTTTTTTTAACTTAGCCTTACACGTTAACATTAATGTTTTAAAGTTTGGGTGCTCAAAATCGTGACCTCTACGATATGAATTGACTCAACTACGAATTTAAGTTATAAGGTTGAATGTCCAGAAAATGTTTTATACTCTAACATCCTTTTGGGGTGAACTATGACCAAAAGATGATTCCTTCATATAGACTCAATACAATATGCTCCCCCCCACCCACCCACCCTAGTCATCTTCCTCTCTAACAAATGTGTTGTAATATTGGATGCAGCTTGTGGCATGTCTCCATATACACAGCTTCTTTCTTTTTCCTCTGTTCCAAAGCAGATGTTTCAGCTCCGAATTGCGAGAACGAACCCCATGGTGATGGCAACTATGAGCTAGCTCGGCAAAATTCGTTCTCGTCCGCGGAGCAGCAAAGAGATGGCAGATAGGGCAATGGTTCTGTGTGCCAAGAGAAGGGGTATTGCTGTAAATTATTGTAACCATCATTCCTTTCCAAATCTCTCTTGAATATATGATACACATACAATAAAAACAGGTTTAGCAATGAATACATACATGGAAAAATAGGAGGTAGCAATTAGATCTTAAATTTTTAACCATCATTCCTCTGCAAATATCTCTTGATAATTTTTTTTTGAACCAAGACTAAAACATAGTCCACAAATCAAAATAAGATCTTAAATTGTTTAAAATACCAAAATAGGACATATGATGCCAAATAATGCTAATATATAATGCCAAAAGTTAGTGTAAAATGCCAAATTTTGTTTTATTGTTGAGGAAAAAAAAGACGCCCTTAAACTATTTCAAAAATTTTAAAGAAGCCCTTCAAATTGTTTTCAGCCATTCATGTGAACAATATCTCTATCATATCTTAATGCAATACTCTCTCCGTCCCAAATTATTTGTAATGTTTGCTTTTTTCTACGTTTTCATTAGTTATTTGATAAAATAAAATATTCTTGACACCTCTTATTTTGAAGAACTTTTCATGTAGTTTTTTGATATGTAAATTTCATTTTTTATTTCTATATCAATATGTAAAGAAAATGAATTGAAAAAATTTGATATTTTACCTCGCGAATACAAGTGTGGCAAATATATAGGGACGAAGGGAGTACATCTTATGGTATGTTTGGGAACATGGATTTGAATTTCAAATCTGAATGCTCAAATTCTATGTTTGGAAATTTAAAAATTTGGATTTGAGTCAAATTCTTCTCATTCATAACAAAGCTTAATTTGAAATCTATGCACCTCCCCTTGTCATTTGAAATTTAAGATTTCAAATTTTGGAATTTAAATACATGAATTGAAATGAAATCCTACTTGCCAAACACTACCTTAAAGAATCCATCATAATTTTTTATGGATGACATACAAAATTGGAGCCTAATTTTAGACAAACAACTATTAGAAAGAGAAAATTTATATGTGAATGACGATTTTTTTACAGTTAATACTTGAAATATACACAGTCTCTTCTTCCCAAAATGATCTAATTTTTCTCTATTTTTGTTAATCGTTGGTTTAAATAATATATGTACGTCATCTATTATTTTATGGCAGTTTGGTGTGGTTCTTTAATCTGTAAACTTATTTTAAAATATTAAAATATTATCTAAATAAATTGAAATGAAAAATAAATTCAATCAAATTTTGTTATCTGCAACGAGACTGTAGTTATGGGGAGGAATACATTAATCCTACATAAAGAAAATTTGAAACTTTAATCGGTAATTTTTTTCTGGAACGTAAGAAAAATAAAAAAAGATCCAAAATTAAGATAGTACGGAGTATATATATTTTTTAACAACCCAAAGAATGGAAGGAGCTTGTGGGACAAGAAAAAATAGAAATGAGAAAGAGTTTAAAGGACGAAGCGAGTATTATAAAAGTAAAAATCCACTAAAGATCTCGAATAGCTACACCCAATCGTCTTCGTCCTACGAATAACGGTACCAAGCAAAGGGGTCCCATCGACAAGCAATCCAATTATAATCTGAGCATCATGTAAAGTGATGCCGACCCCTCCAAATGGAAGATGAAAGACGTGAGTCTCGGGGTGCCACCTCTCAACTAAGGCGGTGATCAAACCCCAATCAAGTTGTACTCTACTCACTCGATCCACCCCGTAAAACCCATAGTCTCGTAAAATAGCATCAACACAGTCATGACGAACTAACAACACCCCTCTTGTAAACTCCAAAAATATCTAACGCACTTCAAAATAGGTACTGTACATCATACCACACCCTCTCGCTTCTATGTTCACCCGAATCTAAAGTTAATATGTCTTGTACAATTGATCCCGGATGCATCATATTTTCTTCAAAATTTATAGTTCTACAATAGCATGATCTTATGCCTAAAAAATAAAACATTTAGTAAGAATTTCATGACCTTAAAAAATTTTAATCAACAAACTCAAATAAAAAATACATATAACATGAAACAAAAAATATGGAATAATAAAAATACATATAACATGAAACAAAAAATATGGAATAATAAAAATACATAGAACATGAAACAAAAATATGAAATTAAATGTCAATAACGTTATTTCGAATGGTTTTTGAAAAAAAATTGTAGTGAAATTTAACCTGGAAAACCCGTGAAACACATGGTTTTTTGCGGGAAGAGCCAGGAGGACCAAATTTCGGACCTGGCCCGACGTCCCTCTTCGGTGCAACCAGCGGTAATCGACACTCCGATTGAGTGATGGTTACATTAAATTACAGCAATACCCCTAGCTCACAGATTTAATTAATATTGCGCCTTTGCAGTTTGTACCACATCGTAATTGTCACCCCACCCTTTCTTTTTTAAAACTCTTCAAGTGAAACTCTCGTTCGCGGAATGCATTGGATGCAATTTGGGAAGTTTGACTGTTTATACATATTTCTTCTAGATATAAAAAGATATTAGCTCTTCTTTAATATCTATATAAATTTAAATATAAATTTATAAAAATATCAAAGAAGAGTTAATATCTTTCTAATCTGTAAAAACTTGTATGTTTACACTCAAACTCACAAACCTTGTGCGTTTAATTTTTTTTAACATTATAAAAAGAAAATTTTATTGATGTGATGTAGCAATAGATTTCATACCCGTGCGATGCCAGGAGAAAAGTCTATTTTAATTTTAATACAAAGTACCATTTAAGTCAAACAATATACACATCTAAAACTTCCTTTATAAGAAACTGATTATTTAATATTCAATCGATAAATTTTAGTGTTAATGATTTCTATGGTGAAAGAATTTTCATCCTTGAGACGTATGAAGCATGTGATAATTTATCTTTTTTCAAACTCAAACAATTTTAGTTATAAATATTATGCTTTTTTTCTTCATCCCAAAATAAGTTGTCTGTTACTTGTTATCGTAAATTTTTAAGAGTAAAATACCTAAACTATCCCTAAAATAAGTCACTCTCCCCCCCCCCCTTATCTCCTCATTCATCGTCACCCCTCCTAAAAAGTAATGGCAATTTCGAAAAAATAAACTTTATTTTTTCTTTTTCCTTAAATATGTCTAAGAGTCAAAACGGGCGATTCAAAAGGGGACGGAGGGAGTAATTAAGAGAAAGAAACTTAAAAAATGAAGGAAAACTATGATAGTAGGCTCTAAATACCTCATGTGCTTTAATTTGGAAGTCTTTTCCGGAAAATGTTTTATACCTCATAAATTTTTTTTATGAACCAAGACTAAAACATAGTGCACAAATCAGAACAAGATCTTAAATTTTTTAAAATACCAAAATAGGACATATGATGCCAAATAATGCTAATATATAAAGTCAAAAATTACGTACTATGAAATGCAAAATTTTGTTTTATTGTTGAGGAATAAAAATACACCCTGAAACAATTTCAAAAATTTTAAAGAAACCCTTTAGATTGTTATCAGCCATTCATGTGAACAATATCCGTATAATATCTTAATGCAATATATCTTAGAGAATTCATCATAATTTTTTATGGATGATATTCAAAATTGGAGCCTAATTTTAGACAAACGTAATATTAGAAAGAGAAAAAGTATATGTGAATGACATAAGTCTTTTTTTACCGTTAATACTTGAAATATACATACTCTCCTTCCCAAAATGAGCTAATTTTTCTCTATTTTTGTTAATCGTTGGTTTAAATAATATATTTATGTCATCTCTTATTTTATGAAAGTTTGATGCGGTTCTTAAATATGTAATTTTATTTTAAAATTTTAAAATATTATCTAAATAAATTGAAATGAAATATAAATTCAATTAAATATTGTTATCTGCAACGAGACTGTAGTTATGGGGAGGAATGCATTGATCCTACATAAATAAAATTTATATTTAAATGACAAATTTTTTTACCGTTAATACTTGAAATATACACTCTCTCTCCTTCCCAAGATGAGCTATTTTTTCTCTATTTTTGTTAATCGTTGGTTTAAGTAATATATTTACGTCATCTCTTATGATAGTTTGTGGTGGTTCTTAAATATGTAAATTTATTTTAAAATTTTAAAATATTATCTAAATAAATTAAAATGAATAATAGATTCAATCAAATTTTGTTATCTGCAACGAGACTGTAGTACTGGGGAGGAATACATTAATCCTACATAAAGAAAATTTGAAACTTTAATCGGTAATTTTTTTTGGAACGTAAGAAAAATAAAAAAGGATCCAAAATATGAAGTTATAAATCAATCCTACATAAAGAAAATTTGAAACTTTAATCGGTAATTTTTTTCTGGAACGTAAGAAAAATAAAAAAGGATCCAAAAAATTAAGTTATAGTAATTTTTTT